TAAATGAGAATTTATAGACAATTCGATCTAAATTATGATTAAATTAAACCTAAATTATGCGGGAAATCCTTCTATATAGCCTACACGATGGGGTGGTGATTGCAAATGGCATCGATCTTAAGTAATTTACAGGGGGTTTTTAAATCGTTTCTATCACCCAAATTTTTAAAAATAAAGAGTGCCACCATCATATCCGGGCCATATGTAAACATATCCAAGCTATATGAGAAATAGGATCGACACATTTTGGGTCCAGATGTCAGATCCCTGATGGAGATAATCTTCTTACCCCTTGGGATCTTTCAACGCAACTGAATCGTGTGATCCACTTTATAGAAAACGGTTTTTGACATTTATTTTTAAACAATTATTCTAAAAATAGTTTTAAAAATAATATTATTATTAACTTTCCTAATTTATTATTATTATTATTAATTTTTTTATTATTATTATTAATTTTTTTAATAAAAATAATATATTTTTATCTACAGTATAACCTCCGAATAGCGGACACCATCGAAGTTTGTCCGCTATTTAGAAGTAAATATAATAAGATATATTGTTTGAAGGGCCTAGCGATTATAAGACTATCCGTTAATAGAGGTTTCACCGTATTATTATTTAATTAGGCCTAATTATAAAAGGCCTTATAGTGTCGTCTCTTCTCTAATAGGGCCTAGCTGTGTTAAGTATAAAGTCGAAAAACATACGCTTAATTATAACCGGAAATGAATTTTGAATTTAGAAGTGAACAAATAGTAATATCACAAAGGGGGAGGTAGAAGATTATTATTTTATTTTATTTCTTCCCTTATATTTTATAAAACAGGAAATGGGGTAGAGAAATGAATAAAGTAGAAGAGNAAAAAAAAAATAATAAGGCAGTGTTCTAAAGCTCTCCTAAAGCTGTAACTTGCTCAGTGTCTTTGCTGTTTAATTCTTCATAAACTAGATTAAATACTGTAAATGTAAATTGTGATCAATGTTGCACATAATACTGTAAATAAAATAATTTACACTTAACTTTAAACATCTATTTTCTGTGTGTCCTCTTGTTATTTTGCTCCTGTTTAATTATAATTAAATTCATCCTCTTAAAAAAATAATAATAAATAAATAGAGAGAGAGAAAATTCTTAATTTACTAAACAGTAATTTACTTAATTTAATTATTTTTATAACTTTTTAAGGGGTTAAATGAACTCGCATCACACTTTACAGAATGAAATTACACTTAAAAAGTGTTAAAATTAATTAATTTTTAAAATATTTTTCTGCTTGATGATTTATTTAATTGATAATTAATTGCTAGACCTATTTTTTTTAATAAAATTTAGGACATAATTTTAAATATTATTGACTTTGTCAATATCCTTAAAGGTATATAGCCTATATAATAAGCACACATTTACACATGATTTAACTTCATGGATTTAAGTCAATAAAAAATAAATTATTAATAAAAATAAATTTATAAAAAGTAAATTTAAAGATTAAATTTATGAAAAAATTATGTAATTTATTTTAAAATTAGCAATTTAATTAGAAAAAATAGAGATTTAGACTTGACTCTAACCTTTCTCTATGTAGCATCTTAACTACTGTGTAAACAGTAAATTAAAATTAAAAAAAGAAAAAAAGCAAGCATAATTATAATTAAGTGTGTTGATTTAACTACCTTTTTTTCTCTTTTGTATATATAAATTGCATTAATTTAAAATTAAATTTAACAATCATCATTAAACATCAAGCAGGAATGACACTTGTTATCTCACCAAGTCCAAATTAGTTAGGAGATAAGATTGTAGTTAATTTATTTACTTGTTCATTAGAAAAATTTAATAGTCATGTGTAAATAATCTTCCTTTTTAACGGTAGAAGTAAATTAGAATTAAAAAAAAACACAAGAAAATAATCATCTTTACAAGATTTATGGTTCTATTAACTATTGAGACTCTAAGTTTCATCAGTAAGAGAGATAATGTAAAGATACATTACAGTGTTACAGAATTAATATTTATTATCCTATTTTTTAATTTATAAAATTAATTTTTCTTTTTTTTCTTTTAAAAAAAGTTATAAATGTTAAATATTTATTTTTTTTTTTTTAATGTAGAGGAGCCTTAGGTAAGGTTGTACACAATTTTCTTGTCCCATTTGTTCTGAAAGATTGTATCTTTATACCCTGAGGTGGGTTATTCTCTACAAAAATTGCATTTCTATACACACACAACAGCATTTTAATTTTTGATTTAAGGCATTTTTAAGCATATAAAAGTTAATAATTACATTCTATTATGCTTTGATAATTGTTTACAGCAAGCTTTTTTTTTTTTAATGTTTACAAATAATTTCAATGGCTAGATTAATTGGAAAACTGATTAAACTTCCAGTGCATAACTGTTGCATTACTTTCACAATTAATTAAATTAGTTAAGCATAGAGTTAATTACAATTTATCTTCATTTAATTGCCTTTTTTTTTAAAGTGTAAACAAGTTAAATACTTACATCTAATTATATAACTTAAAGATGAATAAACTTTTTAAAAAAAATTAAAGAGGATGAAAATAGATTTAGGTCAAAATTACCCATGAAAAATATGCACTGGTGCAATGTTTTTTTCTTGTAAAAATATATAAATTAAGCCAATTCTTGATAGAAATTATGTAGCATATAGATAGGATAGGTGTATAGTTATACTATATACATTCAGCCAAGTTGCATGAGAATGCAGAAGCTCAAAATGACAAATCATTATATAGAGGAATGACAGAAGACACATTTCTCACTTGTTTAATATCTTTTACTCCGGCCATTTTCGATATTAGAGATGGAGTGACCGATAGGAGGCTTCTCCACCCCTGCGGTGGGACATAACTCGTTAGCAGTCCGCCTCTACTTGATTTATGAACGTACAAATGGTCTGTAAGCGTCAAGATGGACGATGTAGTATTCGCCCTGCCCTTGGGTACGTCACCCACAATACAACTACTACAACCGCTTCTTATCTCTCTCTCTCTCTCTCTCCACTTTGGCTTTCTTTGGCTTTCTTTGAAGAGGAACTTGTATCGATAATAGATAACTATTTTGCTTATAAAAATAAATGATAAAGTTAAAAATAAAAAACGTTACATTAAGTAGTATAATAACAATATTGGGGTGTTTTTTAACGTTTATTTAGTGTTTAAGTTTTTAGCAGTGTTTCTGTTGGAAATAAATATAAATTTGAGGTAGAGAGATGGACTTTACGGATTTATTTCTTATGTTTAACTCGATTTTACGACTTTTAGGACACGAAATATACTTGATTTTATATCTCCAGTGTAGAAAAATGATAATTAAAGTCTTCATTTATGCGAAAATTTCAATTTGTTTGCTAGAATTTGCTCATTGTTTCTGTTAGAAAAGAATAAAAAGTAAACAGACAGACGGACGTTACAGAAATATTTCTTTGTTTAACGCAATCTTTCAGCTTTTGGGACAACATAAAATATATTTTTCCATCCTCCAGTAAAGAAAAAGAAATGACAGTTACATCCCTTTTCGCATCACCAAAAACGTTGTTTGGCTATACAAACTCGAATTTACGTTCCCAACTATAACAAAAAAAGACGTATAATCGAGGTAAAAAAAGACATTATTCCCGCATTTAACGTTATCCAGTATCATTTTNATGAGAATTTTACTATATTTTTAAATATTTTAATTATTTTATTTTATAATCTATTTTGAATAGTTCGAAAATATATATTTTTTTCTATAATTTTTGACTTCTTTGGCAGACTTTCTTCTTCATCTTTCCCCTCCTTTGTTGACTGCCATTTTGACATTGATTGATATCCTGTGTCGAAGGAAAGAATCCTTTTCTACTGTGTTCATTATCAATCGCAGAATTTCAAAAAAAAAAAACCAAACAAAAAGAAAAGAAAATTTAAATATTTTCGTGTAAAATTATAAACTACAATCTCCATTTTATTCTACAGTATATAATATTCTCGTCAGCTAAAGTAGGTTGGCCTATTCTTCTAGAGTAGATAAGATGGGGGATGCTGTTTTAATATCTACAGAGGATAAATAGTTAATTGAAAAAGCAGGATGATCCTTCAAACGTTCGTAGGATGATCAGATAGGATCCGAATGTCAAAGCTTGTCAAGAATGTGATGATAAGTTGTTCGGCTTTGACTTCCGTTGTCAGCCAACCGTGATGGGTAATAGGATTTGACAGGGATAGAAATTGCTACTGCTCTTGCCTGCACTTTTACTATTAGCAGTTACACGAACTTTACACGTCGCCCTAGTGCAAAATTAGCATCCGATTCTCTTTAATCAAGAATTCGACTTAACTCGTTAGATAATAGCCTATCCTTCCATTACAGTAGTATATATTCAAGGACTTAAAATTGTAGTCTGGGAGCGAATCTTTAAAATTAGGCCTTTATTTAAGTCAATTCTACTTATAAAACATCAGAAATTGGGCCCTTTAAGCGTTGTGTTTTAGGCCTCTAATGTATCGGCTAATAAATGAATTTTTAGAATTGTTTTAATTATTAATTTATGAAATTAATTAAAAGGCTTTTTTTTTTAGCTCTTATGTGGCATTTATCTCGATTTATAGAGTACATTAAGGAAAACATGCAGATATATTAGCGAGTAATTAATATTCACGCCCCGATAGATAAAGGATTAAAGGAGTTAGAAAGCGAATAAGTGGCATAACTATTTTGATAGATAAATAAGAATTTAAACTCACCTAAATCAAAGTTTAATCGGGTAAAAATTTCATTAGGAAGCTGAACTTAAACAAGTCATCGGCGATCGCGAAGGCAAGTCTCCGTGTGGGTGTGGCAGCGCAGAGTGACTGACGTCTTTCCTCTACAATATGGGAGTGGTCTCGTAGTTTCGACCAATCAGGACTACAGAGGTATCCGGACCGGTCTTCTTCAAAATGATAATATCGCCATGAATGACTGATACTCCGGTATTAAGTCCGGAACCGCACTCGATCGCACGTGCGAGCCGACAGTCCCCAAATGATCGTAGGACATATGACCGATACATCGGCCCAGTTGCCATCCGTGACAGGTATCATACCGCCGACCAGTTGCCCAAATGTTAACCCCACTTCTCCAACACCGATGCTACCCTCGTTCGGTTTTACACAGGAACAAGTGGCCTGCGTATGTGAGGTGTTACAACAATCTGGCAACATCGAAAGACTTGGTAGGTTCCTGTGGTCCCTGCCGGCCTGCGAGCACTTACAGAAGAACGAGAGCGTCCTGAAGGCCAAAGCTCTAGTTGCCTTCCACAGGGGTAACTTTAAGGAACTTTATCGCATCCTGGAGAGTCACAACTTCACCCCCGCTTCACACCCGAAATTGCAGACGTTATGGCTGAAGGCTCACTACATAGAGGCCGAGAGGTTACGTGGAAGGCCTTTGGGTGCCGTCGGTAAATATCGTATAAGGAGAAAGTTCCCTTTGCCTAGGACTATATGGGACGGTGAAGAAACTAGTTACTGTTTTAAGGAGAAGTCCAGGAATGTTTTAAGGGAGTGGTACGCTCACAATCCTTATCCTTCGCCTCGTGAAAAGAGGGAACTCGCTGAAGCCACCGGCTTAACCACTACACAAGTCAGTAACTGGTTCAAAAACAGACGTCAGAGGGATCGGGCGGCGGAGGCCAAAGACAGGTAGGCCTGCAGGCTGTTTGTTTGTGTAATATATCATTTATTTTATATAATTACATGAATATAATTAAACAGAATCAATTTTCTAAGTAATTGTTCAGAGTGGGAAGCGAATATTTGAACTAGTATATGCCCTTGGCCTGAATAATCCTACCTAAAATTACGCTTTTCACGCCTCCCTTATAGTATTTCTAATTGGAAAATTATCTTACAATGATTTTAATGCCTCATCTCTAGATTTCTTACAGGATAAATAATATATAGACAATAATTTAATGATACAAAGCACTATCCTAAAGGCTGTAAATCTGTAGTTTGGCCATATTTAAACTTATAAACAACAAGCTTCGACTTTAATAAATTTTATAAGGCCTTAGTATTGTTACTCCTTCTTTAGTACTATTTTTTACCCACAATTTCGCTTGTCACGTGTTCAAAAAACACAATAACATTGCAGGCGATTTGATTAATTACATTCTAAACCGACAGAAATTTTAATTAGAATTAACATAAATTTTATATGTTAAAAATAATTTTAAATTAAAGGCATAGAAGATTTTAATTAGGCATAAACTATTTATTAAATCGTATATTATTAGGCCTTAATATTCATGCCTAATTAGACTTTTATTATTATTAAAGTATAGATAGGTAGGGCCGTATTTTTACACATTAAGCTAAACAAGTTGCAGTTTAGGGCCTGGCATTACGATTCTAAACTTTAGGGCTATATTTTACGACTCTAAACTTCGAGGCCTCACATTTTTTTCTATGTGCAATTGAAGGTAAAGAGCCCGTTATAAGTTATAGAAGGTTGAGCCTAGTTACTAGAGTCCAGCTTAAAACCTAGTTTTGATCCTTAATCCTAACTTATAATTGACTCTAAGTGATTTTATAAGTAAAAGTTTGTGAGGGAAAAAAACTATAGGATATTCATTTTGATATAAATAGATTATTTATCAGTATCTAAACTAAAATAAGAAGCAATAACAACGATATCATCTTACTGAATGATATGTCATTACAATGACGTTAACATCTTCATGGAGGAGGGAAAAAAATACATATATATATATATATTTTTCCTATTAATTTCACTTTTTTCATCCATCATCTTTCTTAAAATTCTTTTTTTTAAGACCCTATCAAATTTTTTTATATAATTTAAATAAAACAAGTTGAATACAACTCATTAACGAAGTCGCCTGTCCAAACCTCTATTAATTATTCGAATATTTTCGAATAATTTTTTTTTAGCCTTTAGGCCCTATAAAATAGGATAGAAAATAAATCTATTATTGTTTTAAGTACTGGAAAGGTTCGGTTTTACAGGATTTAATAGAGAAATTAAACTGTAATCTATCACTTTGTTAGGTTTATCTTGTGGATCTAGTTATGATGATAAGCCAACCTTCAGGCGAATATAAGGCCTTAAAATAAAGATTAATTCTATTAAACTAAAGAGTCATTTTATCTTTGACAGATTAAATAACTGGAAGGCCACCAATTTAGATAGGCCCCACGAATATAAAATGCTGAATTATCCATTGACTAGAAACATCTGCCACGTCTCGAAGAATGAAACATTTATGCATCCATTTCTAAGAAAGAACGTCTTTTGGATTCCTAGAAGCTGCAGTCGTTGGACTGTCTGCACTCACTTTTTTTATTTATTATTATTATTTTTTATTTATTTCCTTTAATTTTAATAGAATTATTCGCTTAAAATGGATAAAGATGTCACCTCAAAGTGTCTTCCAGTAATTTAATGCCCTGTTTAGAAAGTTGGGTAGAATTGTTTGTTTTTAGGACCATCTACTTCTTTAAGAAAAATGTGTTTAGACTTAACTTTCAACCATCTTTTTCAGTTATTTTAATTTATTATTTCGTCTAATATTAGAATTCTTTCACGAGAAAGATCTCCGAGGCCTCAGGAGTAGGCCCGACTTTATATATAAATGACGTTTTAAATTCCTCAATTAATTAATATTTTAAGCTTTAGAAACTGGAAACAATATCTTAAGAATATTAATTAAGCCATAAAATAAACGTTACACACAAAGGATAGCATACAAAATGGATTAGGCCCTATATAAAGTATGAAGATTATCATAAAATAAAACAATTTTAAACTATAAAAAAAGGACCAGTTTTAATTATTGTTTAATGATACGATGTGTACAAATTCGCCTTAAACTTAAACCTGTACGTGTGTGTAATCATTTTTTTTTTTTTAGTAGGGACCGTTATACCTTCGGCTCTATGCGTTAGGCCCTTAGGCATAATTTTGTATCAGACAGAAAATCAGCCTATAAATTTCGATACAGGCTATTATTATTGTCAGAAGGAAACTTTCTTTACTTGTTTAAATTCGAATAAGATATATAGGAAGTCGTAAAATTTTAAAATAAACATTTTCTGAAGACAATTATAGATAATTTCCCCAAAGGCATCCATTAAACAGTTCATTTTTATACCTGATAGTACCGAAAAATATATCCAGAGTGCTATAATGATGGCCTATAAATTCATATTTAAATTCTGTTTAAACGATGTAACAGCCTTAAAAAAATTGGACCTTAAAAATAATGCCTTATCCTAGGCTCACTCGCTTATAAATTGCCTTAGTTTAAGCCTTAATTTAGGTTTAAAGTTCAATTTTACGCTTTAATTTCGTTTATTTTTTCTAGCTTATAGTCCATTCTTTTTAAAGGATAAAGGATATTTAGGATACTTATATGAACAGAACGAATTCAGGACCAATAATTTAGCCTTTTGATAGTGTCGTGGAAGTTAAAATTTAGAATTTCGGTCTATACATCAATGTCCTTTAAGACAACGAAGTTCAATACATAGGCGAAGCCTAGGGCGTCTCCATTTTTGCCTTCTGTCAATTTTAATTGATGAAAAAAAAAAAAGGGAAACAGATAGCAGACAGATCGACAGACGGATAATTAAGAGTCTAATAATTAAAAAAAAAAAATCTTTAAAAAATCTTTTTGCGCCTAATTTCTGGATGATTATAATTAGGCGTTAATAAATAATAATTGAGCGTAAAGATAAATGGGAAAAGTTAATATTTTTCCTTAATTTATTAAATTTACAAAGTGTAGCAATAAGGTTTAATTACGATTAACTCGAAGGCCTTAATTAATTAATTACGAGTAAGGCCCAGTTTGTGTAATCATTTTATACCAGGCAGAAACTAAGTTTCCTAGTGAACATTACTCATTTAGAAGAAATTCGTTGAAAAGGACAAGGCCCTATAAAGATGCGAATACTTTCAGGCATTCGAGTTTGATTATGTTTAATGCCTTTGATAAAATTTAAAATTAGATGAAATGCAGATAAAGCAAAAGAGTCGAAGTAATATCCCTGTTTATTGATAGAAGACATCACTTAGGAGAAAGTTAGGAGAATCTGGTGGCACGCGAACACGCGAAATTTCTGTTCCCAATTCAAATTCCCAACCATCTGTTCCGTTCCATCGGAGGCGATGCCAGCATTCTGCAATCAGATGGCTTGACGTTTCCTCTTCATCACAAAATGCCTAGTTTAGCCTAAACACCGAATGAAAACCCACCTATTAGCCTTTGAAGCTAGAGTCAAAATTTACAATACCTTTCCTTTCCTCCCCCCCTCCGTATTATCAAACTGTAGTGTTGTGGCTTCTTATATTATATTTTATTTTTTTTTAATTAGGTAAATGCCTATTTAGAAGGTATTTTTATTAATAACACCTACTACTTTTTATTATTTATATCATTAATTTGGCTGATAAATGCAAGATAGATTATACGCCTATGGGCTTTACGTGCCTGTCACACAGACCTTTGCACCTGGTCAGGTTATAAAGGTGTGTTTTATGAGGTTGTCCATTTGTCATTAAACGAAAAGGCCGAACGATTTAGACCGAAATTAATTTCGATAAATATACATTAAAATAAAAGTTTCCTGTTATAAATTCAAAACTCTATTTTCTAAACTGAGAAATGGCCTAAATGTACAGGTTAATTTAACACGACTTGTCTAAAAATATACGTAGACTACTATAAAGTCGACCCCCCCTATAACACTGTTGATTATTTCGTTTTATATGAATTCCATGTTGTACGAGTCACTTAAATTTTACAAATACGTGAGCCGTTCACAGCCCGGCACACGTATTTGTAAAATTTAAGTGACTCGTACAACATGGAATTCATATAAAACGGAATAATCAACAGTGTTATAGGTGGGTCGACTGTAGTTTCCACCCTTTGATAATACATTCCTCCTACTACTTTCTTCTCCTTAAGCAGAAGAGAGCAACCTGCCTAAGACGGACAGGCTATTTATCACACTAAATGTATAATTTCTATTTATTAATTACATTTTACACTAGAAACTGTTCGAGACGAGCGATTTAGTTTCCAATCATCAATGGTATATTGCATGAATGTTTTTTTTTTTTATTGTAAATTATAAATCTACTTAAAATTATGTGTTAAATATTATAATTTTTAATGGTTAATTATGAGCTAAATCGGTGGTTTACGGTGGTTCTCGTGTAGCGGAGGTCTGAGCTTCATCCTCTTTTCTCTCTCCACAGAGAAACAACCAACGATAAAAGCAAATCCACGACCAAAGATCCCGTAAGCCCCGATAAAGAAGAAAGAAAACATAATATAGAAGAAGACCAAACACCGGCTGTTCCAGGATGTGAAAGAACAATATACACGGCCGATCTAAAGTTAGGACCTACAGTGACATCACAATCGGCAGTAACGGCAGCGACGGTAGCTGCTCTTTCGGCAAATTTTCGATTGAATCACGTGTCTGACATAACACCGGTTGTACCAGGACACCTCGGTGACGTTGGACTAACACTAAGTACCGACTACCACAGTTTATGACAGTCGGATGGGGTTACTGCTGGTACTTTCTACCTATCAGCTTCACAGCAGTCAGACCCCTGGACTACGTCACATTCGTTGTTACGCAGCGAAAATTTTCTACCTAATTGTTATTTATAAAAATATATATATATATATATACAATAATTCCAATTGTACAGTAAAAGCCCACACACAAAATGTAAATATAGAAATTTACAGAATTATTTGGGAGTTTCAACTAGTCGAATACACGTGTTTTAATGAGCTTCTGTTTCGACTAAACAATGTATTTTATTTTCAAATTTTTCATTTAAAATTCTCTTTAAAAAAATTCTCTCTATCTATCTCTTAAAAATTCTATAAAAATACCCTAATTTTAAACCTTATAAAGGTCAGATATAGGTGATAAGTGTATAGACTTAGTAAATGTTTTAGTACTATCTTTCAATCTATCTACCTATCTAAATCTCTCACTAATAAACTAGTTTTTAATTAGGTATGTCTACATATAAATAGTATATAAAACCTTCCCTTAAGGGGGGTTGCAGAAGACATTATAACAGAAATATTTAATAATTTTTTGGGCCTATTTCTGCCCTATTACAATGAGGCCTTGTATCCAAAAAAAAAAAAAATAATAAGGCAGTGTTCTAAAGCTCTCCTAAAGCTGTAACTTGCTCAGTGTCTTTGCTGTTTAATTCTTCATAAACTAGATTAAATACTGTAAATGTAAATTGTGATCAATGTTGCACATAATACTGTAAATAAAATAATTTACACTTAACTTTAAACATCTATTTTCTGTGTGTCCTCTTGTTATTTTGCTCCTGTTTAATTATAATTAAATTCATCCTCTTAAAAAAATAATAATAAATAAATAGAGAGAGAGAAAATTCTTAATTTACTAAACAGTAATTTACTTAATTTAATTATTTTTATAACTTTTTAAGGGGTTAAATGAACTCGCATCACACTTTACAGAATGAAATTACACTTAAAAAGTGTTAAAATTAATTAATTTTTAAAATATTTTTCTGCTTGATGATTTATTTAATTGATAATTAATTGCTAGACCTATTTTTTTTAATAAAATTTAGGACATAATTTTAAATATTATTGACTTTGTCAATATCCTTAAAGGTATATAGCCTATATAATAAGCACACATTTACACATGATTTAACTTCATGGATTTAAGTCAATAAAAAATAAATTATTAATAAAAATAAATTTATAAAAAGTAAATTTAAAGATTAAATTTATGAAAAAATTATGTAATTTATTTTAAAATTAGCAATTTAATTAGAAAAAATAGAGATTTAGACTTGACTCTAACCTTTCTCTATGTAGCATCTTAACTACTGTGTAAACAGTAAATTAAAATTAAAAAAAGAAAAAAAGCAAGCATAATTATAATTAAGTGTGTTGATTTAACTACCTTTTTTTCTCTTTTGTATATATAAATTGCATTAATTTAAAATTAAATTTAACAATCATCATTAAACATCAAGCAGGAATGACACTTGTTATCTCACCAAGTCCAAATTAGTTAGGAGATAAGATTGTAGTTAATTTATTTACTTGTTCATTAGAAAAATTTAATAGTCATGTGTAAATAATCTTCCTTTTTAACGGTAGAAGTAAATTAGAATTAAAAAAAAAACACAAGAAAATAATCATCTTTACAAGATTTATGGTTCTATTAACTATTGAGACTCTAAGTTTCATCAGTAAGAGAGATAATGTAAAGATACATTACAGTGTTACAGAATTAATATTTATTATCCTATTTTTTAATTTATAAAATTAATTTTTCTTTTTTTTCTTTTAAAAAAAGTTATAAATGTTAAATATTTATTTTTTTTTTTTAATGTAGAGGAGCCTTAGGTAAGGTTGTACACAATTTTCTTGTCCCATTTGTTCTGAAAGATTGTATCTTTATACCCTGAGGTGGGTTATTCTCTACAAAAATTGCATTTCTATACACACACAACAGCATTTTAATTTTTGATTTAAGGCATTTTTAAGCATATAAAAGTTAATAATTACATTCTATTATGCTTTGATAATTGTTTACAGCCAGTTTTTTTTAATGTTTACAAATAATTTCAATGGCTAGATTAATTGGAAAACTGATTAAACTTCCAGTGCATAACTGTTGCATTACTTTCACAATTAATTAAATTAGTTAAGCATAGAGTTAATTACAATTTATCTTCATTTAATTGCCTTTTTTTTTAAAGTGTAAACAAGTTAAATACTTACATCTAATTATATAACTTAAAGATGAATAAACTTTTTAAAAAAAATTAAAGAGGATGAAAATAGATTTAGGTCAAAATTACCCATGAAAATATGCACTGGTGCAATGTTTTTTTCTTGTAAAAATATATAAATTAAGCCAATTCTTGATAGAAATTATGTAGCATATAGATAGGATAGGTGTATAGTTATACTATATACATTCAGCCAAGTTGCATGAGAATGCAGAAGCTCAAAATGACAAATCATTATATAGAGGAATGACAGAAGACACATTTCTCACTTGTTTAATATCTTTTACTCCGGCCATTTTCGATATTAGAGATGGAGTGACCGATAGGAGGCTTCTCCACCCCTGCGGTGGGACATAACTCGTTAGCAGTCCGCCTCTACTTGATTTATGAACGTACAAATGGTCTGTAAGCGTCAAGATGGACGATGTAGTATTCGCCCTGCCCTTGGGTACGTCACCCACAATACAACTACTACAACCGCTTCTTATCTCTCTCTCTCTCCACTTTGGCTTTCTTTGAAGAGGAACTTGTATCGATAATAGATAACTATTTTGCTTATAAAAATAAATGATAAAGTTAAAAATAAAAAACGTTACATTAAGTAGTATAATAACAATATTGGGGTGTTTTTTAACGTTTATTTAGTGTTTAAGTTTTTAGCAGTGTTTCTGTTGGAAATAAATATAAATTTGAGGTAGAGAGATGGACTTTACGGATTTATTTCTTATGTTTAACTCGATTTTACGACTTTTAGGACACGAAATATACTTGATTTTATATCTCCAGTGTAGAAAAATGATAATTAAAGTCTTCATTTATGCGAAAATTTCAATTTGTTTGCTAGAATTTGCTCATTGTTTCTGTTAGAAAAGAATAAAAAGTAAACAGACAGACGGACGTTACAGAAATATTTCTTTGTTTAACGCAATCTTTCAGCTTTTGGGACAACATAAAATATATTTTTCCATCCTCCAGTAAAGAAAAAGAAATGACAGTTACATCCCTTTTCGCATCACCAAAAACGTTGTTTGGCTATACAAACTCGAATTTACGTTCCCAACTATAACAAAAAAAGACGTATAATCGAGGTAAAAAAAGACATTATTCCCGCATTTAACGTTATCCAGTATCAATTTTTTTTTAAAGAAAAAAAAAAGAATACTTTTTACACAGACTTTACCACAAAGCAAAACGTCGTTCACCTACCCAAACTCGAATTTACATTTCAATTATAATATAGAAAAATTGAAAGTTTAAGAAGAAGAAGAAGGAAAAAAAAAACCTATAAAGTAGAAAAAATAGCACGTGAACTCCCTCCCCATTTCTTTTTTTTCTACAGTATTACTTTCTATACCATTTTCATTCCTTTTTTTCCCTATATATTCCTGCTGCAACTTATGGATATAGGAAGAGCAAATAGGATGCGGAATCGACATGTGGATTCCCCCAAAAATCTATTCAAATTCGACAAAGGGAGAAGAAGAAAAAAAAAAACGTGTATTTAAAAAAAGAACACACACACACATATATATATATATACACAGATAAAAGATATATATATATAGGGGTTACACATACACGAAATCACGAATAAATAATGATGTCGGACACGATACATCTATCATTTTGTTTCTCACCGCTTTGAGAAAAGTAATAAAAGTTGAATATATTTTTCTATTTTCAATAGAGGCTAGGCTGTTGATGTGATTTTTATGATAGGGAAGCGAGGATATAGTCTCCAGAAAATCCATCCATCTTTCTGCCACTACACCAAATAAAATCCCATACTCCATTATTTAATGTCAGTGTCTCTATCTTAGTAGCATTTCTACTAAATTTTTTTTTCGTATATTAATAGTTAATTACTATACAAAAATGTTGGTTAAGGATAAATAATGATGATTAATCAATTTTTTTTTTAAATATAAATTCTACTACGTCCCTCACATCCTCGCATCACTTACGCTGCTCCTCCGCATCACTTATCTTAGCATCCCTGTTAAATGGAAGATTTTATAGATTTTTAAGTATAAATTTATATATATATATTTTTTACGGTAAAAATCCGTGTTATTTTACTAACTTAACCTTATCACTTGATACGATATCAGGTATAAAAATTCGATTTTAAAAAACGATACATTCAAGAGGAGGAGTGTGTGTGGTTATTGTTTATCTTCTAGAAAATAAATAAAAAAGTAAAAGAAAAAAAAAATGCAAATTTATTTTGAATAAAACATCTTATTTGGCAGATTGCTACGGTATAAAAAGGGAATGAAAGTAGACTTCCATTTTCTTTTCCAACTGCTTTATTCTCATGGATACTTCGAAGGTACCACGCAAGAGCGAGATGAACTACACGAAAATCTTCCATCAGGCAAAAGTAGGTTCAATGGGGTTTCAGTGAGAAATCACTTAGGTGAAATTTAAGTTGCTTTTAACAGGGCAATCTTCCTTCAACCATCCAATCATGTTGAGGATGAGATATTGCGTGGGGGGGCATTTTCTAGCTGAAACAAAGAGCGTACACGCAATCAGCACCGAGCGCTGAAATTTCGCTATCGGATAGAAACTACACACTCGTCCTTAAAGGAAAATAAAGTAGAACCGTGTCACGAAAATCTATTCCATCTTTCTTTTCTCTTTCCTCTTCCCCCCTTTTCTCTTTTCTAGATTGCTTTATTAAGTACACGGATATAATATACTTTTACTTATACATATATATATATATTTTTTTTTTTTTCTCTCTCTCTCTCTCCCTCTTCCTTTTCTCCTCTTAACTCGAAATTTGCTTTGATTTTAATTAAAGAAAATGACGTTTTAATATCAAGATAATTGACAATTATTACGGATTTAATTGTCTTTTAGTATTTACCGAGCTTTTTTTTTTTCTTTTTGTAAGTAAATAAAGCGATTTTCATATACAGAAATCAAGTCGGAAGCTTCCATTTATCCTGGTGAGGACGGATTTATATATAAACTATATGAAAGTTTAGTTTAATGTTATAAATTTCAATATATAAGGGATGAATCTAACGACTAAAAAAACAGAAGAAGTGAGGGGGGGAAGAAAAAAAATTACGTGTATAGAGGAGGAGCTTTGGTTAAGCATCTCTCATTGATCATGTGGTTCCGTCTACTCGGCCGTCAAAACTCCTCACACATTTAATGAGATCTTGCAGATGGACCAATAGGACCATGATAGATGGTAAGAGGGAGAACTGACGGACAGTTCCTTCCATTACATTCGCACACATTCAACGTATTAGGAAATTAATGTATCGACGTTTCACACTCTTTACTAGTAAAGTGATTCTTCAGTAATTAATTGTTCAAAGAGAACATAAATCATTACGCTTAAACTCGTCTTTAATATAAATTTTATAAATTTGCAATGTTATCCGATTAACCGGGTGCCTTATTTAGTCTAATAATTGTTTAGATTTTTATTCAGTTTCGGTGTAAGTTAAAAACACAGTAAACAGTACATAGTTTTAGGATAGTAATTTATACTTAATATCGTTTATTTCGAATGGAATTTCGTGTTTTAGACACGTAATA